CACCTTCCTGGGCCCTGGAATGATCTAGATGGAGGTGCTGGAAGAGACTTCAGAAACCCTGTGAAGATGGAACAGCTAAAGGAAGGGGCTGGGCCCGACGGGTGAGAGACAAAGACCTTCTGCAAGAGGGACAGAGACCCGGAGAGAGAACGGGGCAGAGATAATCAGAGAGAGAGTTGAAGGGACCCAGAGAGACTATCAGGAAAAAAAAAAAAAAGCGGGGGGCTCAGGTATCATCATATAGAAACAGAATCTTAGAGGACCTTGGTCACAGAGTTGAGTGAAATACTTAGAAACAGGGAGAGAGTTAGACACAGATATTCATGAAACAGAAATTTCTAAGAATGAACGGAGAGACTTCCAGAGACAGCCAAAGGGCTGGAGAAATAATAATTGTCCACATTTATTGAGCACTCACCAGACCCAGCCCTAAAATACGCACCTTTGATACGACCCCAAACCATTTTTTGATATGAAAAATGAAGGTTCAGATAAGAGAACGATTTGCCCAAAGACACCCCATTAGGGAGGCAGCCTGGAATTGGAACTGAGTTCTGTCTGACGCTGAAGTTAATGGCACAGTTGTCTGTCTCTCTGTAAAGAGAGATGGGTAGAAATAGAGAGAGAGAGAGATTGAAAGAGAATGACATCAAGAAGAAGGTGTGGAAGTCCGAGGTGGACACAGAACTGAGGGTGGAGAGAGAGGGACTCCTGGCAGAGGTACAGAAGCAGCCAGGCAGCAGTAAGGAAAGAAGGGAAGAGCTGGTGAGATCCGCTGACTTCTCTTCTTGTCATTCTAGGAACGACCTGTCCCTGCCATCACCTGGGACTGAATCGTTGCCCCCTGCGCCCATCCCAGTCCTGCCACCCTCGCTCCTGGGCACCCCAGATCCAGCCCACCTGGGGCTCCCTGAGAGCCTGGCCTCTGTTACCGTCCCCATTCGTCTGGATGCCCTCTCCTACCTCCTGCATAGTGCCTTTCTGGGGGTGTATAACTTCCAACAGTCCTTGCCCTCCTGTCCCTGCTTCCTCCAGGCATGCCACGTCCAGCCGACCATAGCCAAGAGGCCTCCCCGGGGACGCGGGGGATGGGAAGCCCGGCGCAGGCCAGGCAGGGGCCAGGGCCGGCAGTGCTGGCGACCTGGGAGAGTTGAGCAGTCACAGAAGGAGTGGGTGGAGGGCCCTGGGGCTGGCCCCAAGACCCCGCTGATGACACCACCATCACCACCACCACCACCACCTGCCCAGAGTATGAAGAAGGAAGCCCAGGGTCTGAAGCCACCCCTAGACACACCACCTGCTACTGAGGACTGGGAGACAGAGTATTAGGACCCTGGAAGGTCCAGCACAAGACACTCCAGTCACCCAGGGGGTGTTTCCTGGAGCCCAGAGTGACTTTAGCCCTGTCAGAGATACCCCAAGAAACATCCTCTTCCCGTCGTCCTCCATCCCCCAAACCACTGCCTCAGGAGTGGATCCTAGGAGTCACCTGGTGAGGCCTGGTCCCAACTTAGGATCCAGTCCAGAACAGCCCTGAACTTCATACCCCTGCTCAAACCCATGCTTGTCCCCCTCATAGCCTCAGTACCATTCCCAACACCACCCCAAATACAGCTACAATCCTGATCTCATTCCGCACCTCAAGGGTTCCTCCAACCTCATCACTAACCCCAAAGCCATTCCCACGTGCCCTCCAATCCTCGTTCCATCCCCACTCTCAATCCCATATTCCCAAACCCATTCTCCTATTCCTATCCCCATCTCCAACCCTTTTTCTGTTCCTCATCCCTAACCCACCCTCATTCCCAACCTATCCTCATTCCCTATTTACCTCAGCCCAACCCAATCCTCATCTTAAACTTAATCCTAAATTCCACCCCAAAACCCAGCCCCATCCTCAACCCCAGCCACAGCCCCATCTCCATCCAAAACCTGCTTCCTAGCCCAGCCCAAACTGTGACAATCTCTTGACCCCACCCCACAAAGAATCCCATTGGCCCAACATATCCAGATACCTGTCCCCCCCGCCCCAGACCCTCAACACCCTCAACACTGTCTCATGCTTCTCAAGGTGTGAATTCCTGGTTGAACAATAAATGGATGACTGTCCCTAAATCTCGTGTGTCTGTGTGTGTATTTACACAGCTCTGGCTAACTCACTACATGCTACGATGAAGGCTCATGAAAACGTGGTAGGATCCAGGGGAGGGTCACAGAGATAGGCCAGTGAGGCTGGGGGCTGGGGGTGGGGAGCCACCTGGATCGCTGCTTCAGCAAATTCCATTTGGGGCCTCTGCCACCTCTGCATTTCTGCCTGCTGGAAGCTGCTGGGCCATGTGGCCATTGTTTGGGGAGGCTTAAGGGATTTTGGGGATCCAAGGGCACAGAGAGGCCAGCAACCTGTCTCAGCTCAGTCTGCACGGAGGGGCCGTGGCAGAGGAAGGGCTCAGGGCAGGCTCTGCTGCTCAGGTAGGCACCAGGCTTGGAGGCTGCAGCCCCTGCCTCCCCCAGGACCCAGTAGTTCAAGGCCCCTGCTCCCTTCTGCCCCAGGACCCAGGGGTCTAGGCTCTCAGCTTCTTCCTCTCCCAGAGACCTGGTGTCCCATCCCCTAGCCCCATCTTCACCTAGAACCCAGGAATTCAGGCCCCTAGCCCTCTCCTCCCTCAGCCCAGGGGTCCAGACCACCAGCCTCCTCCTCCCTCAGACCCAGGAGTCTAGGTCTCCCAGGCCCCTTCCTTCCCCTGGATTCAGGGGCCCAGGCCTCTAGCTGCTGCTTCTACCAGGGACACAGTGTCCTACTCCTTAGCCGCCTCCTCCCCCAATCCCTTTCTCTATCAGGACCTTGGAGCCTAGCTCGCATCTCTCCCCTTCCCCACAGATCACCATGTACAGCTTCATGGGTGGTGGCCTCTTCTGTGCCTGGGTGGGGACCATCCTCCTGGTGGTGGCCACGGCAACAGACCACTGGATGCAGTACCGGCTGTCGGGGTCCTTCGCCCACCAGGGCCTGTGGCGGTACTGTTTGGGCAGCAAATGCTACCTTCAGACAGAGAGTATCGGTGAGCCTCGGGGCCAGGGTCTGGGCCAAGTCTGGGGTCAGAGCCCCCTGTAGGGCAGAATCTCACAGAGTAAGGGTATCTATATTCCAGATGGAGAACCCTGTGACTCAGAGAGAGAAAGGAACCAGCCCAAGGTCACTCAGCATGGAAGAGATAGAACTGGGATCTCAGGATTGTTTTCTAATTGCAATTACAGGGTGTGCTTGTTTGGAGGTTAAGTGGAGAGAGGTGGCATTTCCTGACACGTAAAAGGTGTCAGGCACAGCAGTTAGGGCAGGGGCTGCCCGGAACAGCATTTTCTAAATATCGGTTATAAACCAAGAACTATGTTAGCTACTGGGGGATATAAAAGCAATATGGACGCTAAATATGCTAAATCCTGAAGTGTTTTTAACTACTTACTGTGTGGCCAGGCCATGTAATACATCTATCTATACATCTACATATATGTATATATAGAGAGAGACACACACACAAAGATATACAGTATATTAATAACATATATCCTATATATATTGATTAAGTAATGATATTATGTAATATATTATAAATTATTATATTAATCATATATTATATTTACATATATTATACTGTATATTGTACATAAATTGATAATACATAATAGATTGTATATATTATATTACACAACATATTATATAATATATTAATAAATTAACAATAAATAATATATTGTATATTACCAGTAATAATAATGATAATAACTGGCATTTATTGAGTACTTACTATGTGCTATTCTAAGCACTTTACATGGATTTACTCCCTTCCATCTCCCAACAACACTAGGAGGGTCGTCCAGTTGTAAACAAGGAGTAAGACATGTTTGACCTCAGATAGTCCAACATTTTTTTGAGGGGGTTGGGAGGAAGACAGAGGTAACCCTCACTGCACCCTGCCATGTGACAGGCATGTGCAGGAAGATTTCACCTACCCATTTCACTGAACCAGTCCTGAGAGACAGGCAGCATGATGCCTGTTTGCCAGGAGGGCAAACTGAGGCAGGGAGACATGGAAAGGCTTGCCTTGGGCTGCTGGCTTTAGAGCCCAGTCTGCCTGACTTCACACATGTTTTTTATTCTGGTTGTCTCACTTGTTAACACTTCTATCATTTCTCCAGCTTCAGACTGGGAACTCCCCGAGGGACAACTCTGAGTCACCTCTGTATCTTATCTCTGCTGGGGATGGGGGACAGAGGGAGGCTTGGTGAAGGTCTTCAGTTCATCTGACATTCTCACAACCACAAAACTGAAAACCTCAGAAACATACCTCACCCCTGATGGATTCTTGAGTATTTGTTAAAACAGCTGGCTTAACTTGCTCATCGACTGTAATTTGCTCGCCAAAATTAGAGCAGGAGTCCTCAACTTGCTTCCTGGGGACCATACCAAGCCGCGGTTGTGTTTTATTGGGTCTGCCTGGTGTTTTTAAAGTTTCTGAAGTCATTGCTAGTATTTAAAAATCTGGAGATTTTTACATAAAAATCTGGACTTGTATCTCTTTTAAAAAAAAAATCTAGGGCCGGCCCGGTGGCGCACTGGAGAGTGCGCCACTTGTGAGGGCGGCGGTGCTCCCGCCAAGGGTTCGGATCCCATGTGGAGACCAGTGCCCGCTCACTGGCTGAGCGTGGTGCGGGCACAACACCGACGGTTGCAATCCCGTTGCCGGTCCCCGGTACGGGCGCGACACCGAGGGTTGCGATCCCGTTACTGGTCAGTAAAAAAAGACAAAAAGGAAAAAAAAAATCTAAATTCTGCATGGCCCCCAGGACAATAGTCAGCTAGCTATGAGTGATGGTTGCCCCCTTCAAATGGAGCTTACCAGTCACGGTCCCTTCAGGAGACAGAAATGAAAGAATAATTAGAATAGGGAAGGTTTTCTGTAACAATGGAGCTGAGAGGTAATACACTGACAATTGCTATGTGGTTCGTTCATGTCCACTTCATCCCAGCCTTCACCCCAGCCTGCTGTCTCCCAGACAGCAGATCCCTTACCCTTATTTGCAGCCGTAGCCAGGCCTCAAAGTTATTTGCATTTTCCACTCCTGCATTAACTTAATCCTAGGAAAGAAATAGGCTATAACATATCCCCAAAAGTCTTCCAGACTTTTAAATATCCAGAGACATCTGTATTAGTTTCCCAGGGCTGCCGTAACAAAGAACCACAGAGTGGTAGTGTAAACAACAGAAATGTATTGTCTCAGTTCTGGAGGCTAGAGGTTTAATGTGAAGGTGTCCACCCGAGTGGTTCCTTCTGAGGGCTGTGAGAGAGAATTTATTCCATGCCTCTCTCCTAGCTTCTGGTGACTTGCTGGCGATCTTTGGTGATCCTGGGCTTGTAGATGCATCACCTTGATGTCTGGTGTTTTCCCTCTGTGTGTCTGTGTCTGTGTCAAAATTCCCCCTTTTTATAAGGATACCAGTCATTGCATTAGGAGCCCCCTCAACTGTAATATGACCTTATCTTAACTAATTTCATTTGCAATGACCCTATTTTCAAATAAGGTACCATTCACACAAAGGGTTACAACTTCAATATATAAGTTTGGTGGCAGAGGGACACAACTCAGTTTATCCATGGAGAAACAGCCAGGAATTTCTCTCACTTAGGCTCACATGAGGCAAAAGACTTCATTATACAGAGATCCTACACCTTTTACTTTTCAACAGCAAGATCCGAGTTCTGTCTGAGATGCATATGTTCTGTCCTGGGTGCTCTGAAAGGCAGAATAGCCATGCAGTTAACATGGTGGGCCTTGAAGCTTGGGTTTCAACTCTAGCCTTGATTCTAATTATGGGAGCTTGGGCAAGTCACTTCACATCTGTGAGCCTCAGTTTCTTCATCTGAGAAATGGGAATAAAACTGGTACTTACAGCATAGGGCTTGTGGTGGGAATAAATAAGGTCATACATGGGAATTGAGCCTGGTACATAGTTGGCAGTTGCTAAATGGAAGATGAGATTGTGGTTGTTATTATTCAGGACATGTCCCAAAGGACAGTGCTGAGAAAAGCACAAGAGAAGAATGGTCCCCAGTGCTCAAGATTCATTCATTCAACATGTTTATTGAGCGCCTATTATGTGCCAGGAGCCAGGCGCTGGAGATATAGCAGTGAAAGAGATAGTAAAGCCTTTGTCCTCACAGAGCTAATAATTTAGTGGAAACGAACAAGTCAAAACAAGTCAAAACAAATAGGATATTTTCAGGTATGGGCAAGTGGTGTGAAGGAAAC